GGAAACTTGAGAATGATGAGGGGTTTTGGCAGGAAATTGTTAAAAGGAAATATGTTGGGGACAAATGTCTTTCTGGAATCAAACACAAAAATGGGGATTCCCAGTTCTGGTCTGATCTCTTAAAAATCAGAAAATATTTTTATCCACATGTTAAAAAAAGATTAGGAGATGGCAGAAATACCAGGTTTTGGGAAGACTGGTCGGTTGGGGATAAATCCCTCAAAGAGGCTTATCCCTCTCTGTTTTTTATTAGCAATGACCAGGGGATTTCGGTGAGAGAGGCTATCGATAAGGGATGGGGTGGTTTCACTTTCAGGAGAGCTCTTTATGGGGATACTGAGCAACTCTGGAATAGCATGAGAGCGAGATGTGAGGAAGTGCTGATGCATGGGGGGAGAGACAAACCCATGTGGATGTTGACTGCTGACAGAAAATTCACTATCAAATCTTTATACAGAGATCTGATCAAATCCGATGTGAGCTTCTCCAGGAAGTTCCTATGGAAAACTAAAGTTCCTGCTAAGATTAGATTCTTTCTTTGGCTTCTAGCCAGGAAAAGCATACTTACTAGAGATAATCTGTTAAAAAGAGGCTGGAAGGGAGATAAAAATTGTGTGTTTTGTGGCAAAGATGAAACGATAGATCATTTATTTTTCTCGTGCTCAGTGGCCAAAACCATCTGGGCTCTGGTGAGATGTGTGTTTGATCTAAAATGCACCCCTAGAGACCTCAATGATTGTTTTGCAATATGGCTAAAAAATTTCCAGAAAGATAGCAAGAAACTTATGTTGGTTGGCATCTCAGCGCTGCTGTGGTCGATTTGGAGATGCAGAAATAGCATTGTGTTTGATAGAAAAATGATTCCTAACCCAATGGGTGTTGTGAAAATGATGTGTGGATGGATTGCTGACTGGGCTGTTTTGCAGAAAAGATACCCAGAGGAAAGAATGTTGAGGCTGGGAGCAAACCTCATCATGCAAGTAGCAAGTGAAGTCTACAAAGCGGCGCAAGGCTGGCGTTTTGGAGTTCTTAGAATTTAGTAGTGACGAATATGGGGGATAAGCTCCTTCTTTTGGCGCCCAGATGAAGTGAAGTGAAAGTAGATGATCTGCGAAGAGAGGCTCAACTTTTGTGCCTTGGCTCTTGCTGTTTGTGCTAGATCGTTGTAGTTCTTTATGTTGCCTTGCTATGCAGAGAGACTCTCTGAGATGTAATAGGGCTAGATTTTGTCAGTTGTGCTCGAGGGTTGGAACTTTATCTGGATGCTTGGTTTCGTCTAATGGAAATCGGAGGGGAAACCCTCTGTTGCTCAAAAAAAAGTCGGATGCAATGTTTTTCATTTAAAATTAATTCATTTTCCTGCCAGCTGAAGAAATTAAATCCAAATAAAAAAAATCTAGGCATCTCTTAAGCTCATGAAAACTTGTGGAGATACTCCTTGTTCCCATTTTGACCTCTCATGAAAATATTGGCCAAAATTAAATAAGGGGAAAATACATTTTTCCTTTATAAAGCTAATATTCCATTCCTGCCATTTTCTAAAGGAGCTACTATTTTGGTTGCACCTAAAATTCCCAAAATAGCGATAAATTTTCAGATCATTTGGAGCTCCGGAGAATAGCTAACTTTGATGTAGTTTTTTTAGGTCCAGAATTCTAGCTGCCGGCAATCTACCTCTTTAAGTGTATCTTGCATATTAAGAAAGAAAATTCATTACAATTGCATCCTAAAGTGAAATATTGATCAAAAACATTATTAATAGCCGTAGGAAATTATGATGCAAAATGGACATATCGGCCATCCCCATCGAACAAGGGAAACTCAAATTGCAACGATGGTGGAAACCGAGCAAAGTAATAGCCCCCCCATGAATGAACTCACCCCTGCCTGATATCGAAGGCAGACCCGGGTCCGCAATTCACACGGTGACACCTCTGGATGATCTGTAGTCGTGTCGTCACCGTGAATGAGTGGCTGCTTGTTGGCCTTGTGCTGAGGCGCGTATGCCGGAAGTGGATGGAAGGGTGACAGATTCGAATACCGGACCATCGACAACACCTCCTTCCCCCTCCCCTTGTCCTTCTCTAGAAATTTCACTTGCAAATGTCCCACCTCGGCGCGCAACTCCTCGACCGAGTGCTCGATCACTTGCTTCCACCCTTACAACTCAAGGATATCAGGGTGAGTTTCGTTGTTCTTGCTCGACATCACTGGGATCACCGCTGTCAAATTCGTGAGCGCCTTGATTTGTTCCTTCAACATTGTCGCTTTGACTTGACGGGTTTGGATGACAGTGGGATGAAAGGCTCTAACTACCAAGCATGGCCCCCATATTACACGGGCCATCCCGGCGATGCACTTAGCCCGCTGGCCCATGTAGGATCGTGCCTATCGGGCTGTTTTGAGCCTATATTCAGCCTATTGGGCTGTATACAAAAATAAACAAGCCAGTGTGCCGGCACGCGTGCCAAGGCCTCACGACCCCGGGCACGACCCTAAGCGGGCTACATGCCAGGCCAGGCCCACCATGGGCCCAACACGCCAGGAGCCCAGGACTGGCCCATTTGGCAGGGTCACCAGCCCACCACCACTCTGGTTGTCTCTCTGACCCCCCGCCCCAATCGATTGGGTTGGGTTGGGTTTGCGGGTGGACCGATGACGGTGGCCGCCGCACGCTGCCTCATTCTCACCCCCACCGTCTCCTCCTCCTCCGCCGTTCTCCGGCTCCCCCGGATCGCCCGCCGCCGCCGCCCGCCCTCTTGCTCGGCCTCGCCGCTCGCCGTGTTCGCCACCATGGACTCGCCGCCCGAGGGCTACCGCACCAACGTCGGCATCTGCCTCGCCGACCCCTCCCTCACCAAGGCACCCCTCCCCCCGCTCGTCCTCCGCCGTTGACGCTCTCGATGCTCCCCTCTCTCACTGATCGCTTCTCTCCCCGCGCAGATCTTCTCCGCGTCCAGGATCGACATCCCCACGGCGTGGCAGATGCCTCAGGTACTACTCCTAAAACAACAGTTTGACGACCAGTGAAAGTCGTTGTTCAGCAGCCTAATTATCGATTACTATCGTTGCTGCTGCATCCTGGTACACGTATTACCAGCCTGTTGTTGATTTGCCGAGTGTTGTGTGTCGCCACAGGGTGGGATAGACCCAGGGGAAGAGCCGCGAGCAGCTGCCATTAGGGAACTGAGGGAAGAAACCGGTGTTAGATCTGCCGAGATTGTCGCCGAGGTCAGTCGGCACTCGGCACTCCTTCACTTTCTTCGCACGTTCTTGTAATCATGATTTACTTTGAGGCATATACTAGAAATGAATTGGCCAATCTCAACCCTACTAAGTAGTGATAAATCTCTAGCGTCCCTCTGCTCCCAATATGCAGCTGGGTGAATTTGTTTTCATAACGAAAAGGTTTCTTGCTGATCGCGTTGCGTGTGTCCGTGTAGGCCCCCAATTGGTTGACATATGATTTCCCCGCGGATGTCAAAGACAAGCTGAATGCTAGGTGGGGAACCAACTGGAAGGGCCAGGCTCAGAAGTGGTAAGCCCGCTGGATTGCTTCAGCTAAGTATGATGTTTAGTAACAAAAGTTTCAACCTGAAAGGAAAGTCCTACAAAAATCATTTTAATGCACAGGCATAGCAGTTGACACTTGACAAACAGAATACTCCAACCCCAAGATACAGCCGCGTAGCCACGGCCGTTGCACATCTTTCTCTGCCAAACCACCACACTATTATTCATGCCGTGTAGCGATTCACCAAGTAAATCTGATGTCAGTTAAGTTGTCAGCAAAATCCATTAAAAATATGTTGCACCATAATAGTCCATGATTATGTCATAACATGCCTTATTATATGCATCCATACTAACATCTGAACATGCTTCATTATCCATTATGCATTATAGGCTCACAGCTACCATGGAAGATTGTATATGCCCTAGTTGTATGTAACATACATGTTACAAATCCATTTCCTACCAATTGTATTGTTAGAAGTCAGAGAGTTTAACACCTTGTATGCATGCTCCTCTACGTTTCAACCTAACATACATGATGCTCCTCTACAGTTCAACTTGCAATTGTTAATAAGTCATTCACTGGATGCACTTGTATGCATGTGCGGAGTATGCTGTGCACACTTGTCTTGCACGGTGTGCATGTGCACATACATGTCTCCAGCTGTAGTACATTGGAAAAAATTATATGAGATGCATAGACAGAAATTCAATACGAAGCTCCTTATGAGGGCATGGGTAGGAAAGTCTGAGGAGACATTAAACTGTGAGAATGAACATCTTGAATCTATCCAACCACTCACATGCACCCAAGGTCATGCTTGTACTGATCTGAAGTTTTCGTAATGCATCCGTTGGTACGAAGCTTCCTACTGAATTTGAGTCCAGGACATGTAGTTCCCCGTAGCCTGTAACAGCTAGTCAATTTTGGTGCTCAGTAGAACTGTTGGATTCCTAGTGGTCGATTGTTAAGTTGCTGGAAGTCAAAAGACAGAACTTACTGCAGTAAGGTCGAGTTATTTCTTTATGTTGGATCGAAATAGAAACACAATTCATGTGTGAGTGATTGAAACTCTTTCTATGTTATGCATCTGGTGTCATCTCCTGATGCTGTCTAATGACTTTGATAGCTTAGTACTTGGATACATTCCTATTATCTTTCACAATGGCTCATGTCACTGACTGGTATAAATTTTATGGTTGGTAGTATGTGTGGCTATCCAAATTTGGGCTGGAGATATTTCCATGGATGTATGCTACAGTGGCCAGCCTACTTATGCTACTTATGCTATCTCCTCACCTCTCTCAAACTCTTCCATTTAGTCTTAGGGTTGGGCCCAGTCAGACTTGTGTAGGTTGGAACTTGTTCAGGTGTTCTTCGGAGTTAATTACCGTCAGTGAAATAATGAATTTCCGCCCATCGCTTGAAATACACAAGACATTTAGTAGCTAATCAGATCTGTAACGTTAACCGTGTACTTCGAATGAGCAGGTTTCTATTTAGGCTTACAGGGGGTGATGACGAGATCAACCTGATGGGCGATGGATCCGAGAAGCCGGAGTTCTCCGAGTGGGCATGGATGACCCCTCAGCAAGTGATTGAGAAGGTGGTCCATTTATTCCAGCCCGATAATAACACCCGATCCCTCCTGTTTCTTGAATCTGGGGCGCCTACTAACACAGTTTCCATGTCGGAACTCGCGCACAGGCTGTTGATTTCAAGAAACCTGTCTACGAGGAGACACTGAAGCACTTCGCCCCGTATCTACAGTCAGATCCAGCAGCCTCGTCGTAGATTCGCGCAGCCTCCCGCAAGTTCCACATCTAGAGCTGTGGCATCAATAATTTGTCGAAACTGTACCTGGGGCCATCCGCGTGAGTATTTCTAGAACGCCTGGCGTGTCGCGGCATCAGATCCTCCATAGACTGATCATGCTCAACGAGGTGCGTGTGTTGTTTCGCAAATAACATCCCGGCTACAGTCCCCTTGTTCCCGAGGTTCTGTTTGGTTTCTAGTCGTGGCAAAGCTTTGGTGCCATGCAATGCAACATGGACACCAGCGGGGCCTGATGTTCTTGACACAGCATCGCCGCCCCTGTCATACATGCAGGCTCCTGTCGTCGCTGCGGCTCAGATCAACAGGTAGTAGAGCCTTCTTGAGCCTGTATTACGCGCCGATTCGGGTAGCAGCGACGGAAATGATCTTCCGTGCCCTCGGGGACCAAATGCCTGAACTGAAGCGTCTTGGCTGTTGGTTTGGCCTTTAGCTTTGCTTTGCTTTGCTGTGGTGTGGTGTGGGAGCACGGAGGACAATCAAGGCCTCCGCGCTTTGTACCGGGTGGTCTCTCTGCGGCATGATACTGTCTGTGAGTCTGTCCCGGTGTCCCGTGGCCGTGGCCGTGGGAGGAGGGATTGCGGTAATGGCATGCGATGTGGTGTGGTTAGGTCAGGTCAGGGAGGTGGATGAATGGGGATCGGCGGCGGCGGCGTGCGTGGAGCATGGGAGCTGTTAAATGCCGCCCGTTATTATAATGGTTGGTCGGGTCCCCTCGCCGGCGGGAAGGAAAGCAGCTGGACAAAAAGCGGCAGCGTTCGTGAACCAACCCAAAGCGTGTTACCGGAGAAGCTGCCTGCCTGACAGCGGCAGCACTAGGAAATTTCACAGTTGCCGGTGCTGACGTGTGGGAGTAGAACGGGACTCTCTCCGTGTCATGCTGTGGAGGACTTTCTTTGAACCGGAGGATTTGGTGACTGGAAATTCCAAGTTTGCTGAAAAATCCATCGTGGACACCACCATGGCATGGCAGGGCACTTGGGTAGGAGCATCTGGGGCCAGGGCAGAGCCCATGACCAATCTCTCATCTCACTCACGGGGGTTTTAACTGGGAGAGCAGGTGGCCGGGGAACCGGACCGGACCGAACCGGAGGCAGTCGCCGTTGCCAAGTGGCAGCGAGCAGACCCGGCATGGCATGTGAGATGGAGGACAAGGAGGCCGCACAAGCACAACCACAAGGGAAGCTTCAATGATTGCCGTGCCGCTGCCCTGCCACCACGGCGTCCGCCAGGCAGAGCTTCTCCTGTGCCACCCACATGTCCATGCCCACGCATGTCTCTCCTTCCCTCCACATGCCCTGACCCTCCGATTAATCAATCACAAGTTGGGTAATCATTCCCCGCGCAACCACGTACATGGCCACGATCGACATGTATCATGTACGTACATATCATGATTCATACCACATGCGCGTACAAAGATCGATCGCAGGCGCTAACACTGTGTGCATGTGACTACTTTCTTCCCAGTGCCTACGTACGTATGATATGAATGCCTACTTCCTCGCAAAAAAAAGAAAGAAAATGCCTACGTACTTGACAGAGAGAAGAGAGCTCTACGTTCCCAGCCGATAACGCCGACGGCCCAACCGACAGCAGCGTGTATCCAAACGTTTCCCTTTTTTTCCCGGATGTATCCAGGGCTTGATGCAGATGGGCCACCTGACAGAGCGACTGATTGGAACCATAACTACCCGTGATGTACACACACACACACATACACGACCGGTACCGCGGCGTACAGTACAGTACAGTACAAATACGACGGACGGCGACAAGAGCACAGGACGGCAGGCAGGCAGCAGGTGGGCGGTCTCATTATACGTGACGTATACATACGCTCTACACGCTACGAACGTGCCGGCACCGGAACCATCTCGCAGAAGACACCCAGCAGCAGGTAGGTTCTCGAATCAGCAGTACAAAACATCAGTGCTGTTCCTCACGCCACACTCTACTCTACCACTAGACCAGCTTAATTGCTCAGCAGCAATGCAATGGCGTCCGGCTCAAGGTTAACAAAGGACGGAGCATCTCACGTGGAGGGTACAAAGCTAGGCATTATTCTGACCTAATGCACGCTTGTACATGATGCGTGCGTACGCTAACTTGACGCACAAGATCTCTCCAGCCTGAGGACAGCGTCACGTGGATTAATTAGCAGCAGCTAAGCTAAGCTAAGCTAAGCTAGGCTAAGCATGGACCAGAGCAGAGGTACGTCGCTTTTGCTCTACTCCGTCGGCCACGCAGTTATTGCACGCGAGCTGGGACGATTGCCACGTGGCCAGATAGACACATCATCACCATCGTCGTCATTAAACAACAAATCATCGATGCCGTGGATGGATGATTCCTCGACAACGACACCCGATTAACCCCGGTAATTACCCTCGCTTTCAGCGCCACAGAAGAGAAAAAGGCCCCATTACAGTCGTCGCTGGAGTCACTTTCGGCCCATGGAAATCATCAGAAACGGCACAATTAGAATAGACACATGCTAGCAATGCAAGTGAGCCACAGCTAAGCAAGAGCCACTAGCTTCAAGTCACCCGTGCGCCACTTGTCAGATAACTACAAGTGCAGAGAAGATAACCTGGATAAAGATCAGCATTCATATGTTACCTCCAGCCAGCTACTGGTGCTGCAGATTTGTTTGCTTGCTTGCTTCAATGGTGGTGGTGGTGGATTTGTTTTGTAGCAACAATAATTGAAGTGGTGTTATGATTATTATTATTATGATTATTATTATTATGTTATATACAATGGGGCATGGGAGATCAAGTGTGTACATAGAGCCTGAGAAAAGTGGTGCAAGCCTGGACTGGTACTTGCTGCCCCCTCAACAGTGCCTACAGCTACATGGCCCATGAATCATGGCGGACGGCATGGAGGATCACAGGCGATGTCCCCCTTTGGCCTCTGCAGCCATGAGGAACCAGAACCAGATGCCATGGCAAAGAAAAGCAAAGGAGGAGAAAAATCGGTTCCAGGTACAGGCAGTGGATCAATCAGAGAAGCATTATGTGATTTGATTGCTAGGTAAAGCCAGAAGCTTCAGTCTCAAGGCTGGAATAATGCAAAAGGTGACCGGCCAATCCATCCATCCATCCTACGGTACTAGTACCCGGTTGAACAAAAAAGAGAACAAAAACGAAGCAAGATGTCTATCTACAGCGGCGGCGGCAGAAGCACAAGCACATGGACGACGACGAACGACGAACTCCTTTTACTTTACCTACAAGAACGAAACGATCGCTGTGCCGAAACAGGGGAGGGAGGTCCGGGAGAGGCAATGTACTTATTTCTTGTAGACATGATGGTGACGACGATGATGGTGGTGGTGGTTCACCGGCCGTCGGCGGAGGTGAAGGACTCGGCGAACCCGGCGGGCCGGGCGGGGATGCTGCCCTTGCTGTCTTCCAGGCTCAGGCTCATGATGCTGCCGTCGGTCATGCTCGCCTCCGACTCCTGCCACCCCTTCACCATCTGGAGCAGCGGCAGGTGCAGGTCGATGCCCATGTAGTCCTCCGCCTCGTTGCTCGACGGCTTCCACTTCTCCACCATGGGCACCAGCACCGTCACCGCGTGCCCCATGTCCGGCCGCTGCGAGGGCTCCCGGGAGGTGCAGTGGCCAGCCAGCTCCGCAACAACCGAGATGCTCTCGAAAATCTCGTCGGTGAGCTCCAGGGTCGGGTCGATGGCTGCCCTGAACTTCTCTTCGTCCTTCCTTATCTGACCGAACCAGGACGCCAGATACCGGGTTTCCTCGTCGATGCGTCTCTCGTCGATGGCGGTCATTCCGGTTATCAGCTCCATCAGCACCACCCCGAAGCTGAAAACATCCGCTTTTGTTGTGATTTTCCCGGTCACTGCACAGATCATGTGCAACAGCTTATCAGCCAGAAATTCAGGAATCATGATAAACATAAATAACATGGAAATGATAAATAATACTTGGTAGTAAATTTCTAATTGAATGGACGCTCTTATGTGCTGCATCAGAAAGTGGTTCAAACTTCACAATATTTGGACAAAAATACATGTTCTATTGATAGACGAATTGGTGTATAAACTTGTGCGGTAGTAATTTGCAAGTTAGTGGTCCAGAGTTCCCAGATAGAATGACCAGTTCATCAAACATTGCCAATGTCATTATCAAATCAACTCGGCTATATCTTACATGGGGTTACTTACACTGGGATTTCAATCAGAATGACCAGTTCATCGAGAATTGCAAGATAATTGCCACATCAATTCAGTTTTTCAGTTCTCTACTAAATCCAAATGAGGTTATTTACACAGCAAAGGATTCACAGGGTCACTGTATATATACTTAATAAAGCATGCTAAAAATTAACACCTGATGGTCAGAACTAAAACAGAAGTTGCAGAACTAAACAGGGTAAAACAAGTCGAAGTATTTCATACCAGCATATTCAGGCGCCAAGTATCCAAAAGTTCCAGCAAGTCTGGTTGCCACAGAGAAGTTCCCGTCCGGTGCAGATTTAAGGAGCCCGAAATCCGACACCTTTGCTCGGAAATCATCGCCAAGTAGAATGTTTGCCGACTTAAGATCCCTGTGAATGTAGCACTGCTGTGCGAGGGTGTGAAGATACTCCATTCCACGAGCAACATCCAGCGCAATGTTCAGCCTCTTCTTCCACGAGAGGGGCTCCAGCTCATGCTGCTTCCAGTGGAACAGATGCTTGCTCAGCGCTCCATTGGACATGTGCTCGTAGACCAGCAGCCTTTCATTGCCTTCGATCCCATAGCCCATTATCGACACCAGGTTGCGGTGCCGGACCTTGGTTAGAATGGCAATCTCTGCCTGGAACTCATCGAGGGCCTTGTTGCTGATCACCGAGGACTCCATCCTCTTCACAGCAATCATGGTGCCGTCGTGCAGCACCCCTTTGTAAACGACGCCGAATCCGCCACGGCCAAGCACATTGTCCTGAGCAAAGTTCTTGGTGGCACAACGAAGAACCTGCACGGAGATCACAAAATTGCGCGCCTCGATCATGTGGATGTCACTATCCCGGCTGCTGGTTCCGCTTGACGTAGCGCCGAAGCTGTCATTGCTAGTCATGACAATCTTGACCAAGTTGTCTGGGCCAGAACTGTTGCGGGGGTGGACGACCACGGAGGAGGTTGTCTGTGGCTGAACCGACGACCCATTTTTCTTGCAGAAGAGCACCACAGCACCCAGTGACAGCAGGGACACCACGCCGATCGCAACCGGAATGGTGGTAGCCAACAAAATTTTGCTCTTCTTGTTCCCTTGGCCAGGAGAGGCAGCCCCTTGGCGTTGTGAGCCCGGCGCGCTATGCGTTGTTGGTGAATGAGGGGCGTCCTTGGGAGCAGAACCACCCGGCGACGACTGCGTGTTGAAGTTTGGATTGCCGGTGAGAATGACATTCACGTCCGGTCTGAAGGCAGGCAGCGGCCCATTCAGGTCGTTCATGCCCAAATCGAGCTTCTTTAGCAGCTTGAGGCCGGTGAGGCTGTCCGGCACATGCCCGGTGAGGTTATTGCTATCAAGCCTGATGTCCGAGAGCGCAGAGAGGTCTCCGAGGCTCTTGCTGATGGTGCCATTGAGGCCAGAGGACGGCAGATTGAGCACCGACACCTTGCCCTGAGAGCAGGTGACGCCGAGCCAGCCCTTGCAGGGGTCGTTCCCGGACCATGAACTGGTGAGCTTGACGGGATAACCAGCCTCGGCTTGGAACTGGAGCAATGCCATGACCTCCGGCGCGCACTTGTCCCCGGGCTTGACGGCGCAGAAGCCGTTATGGGAGGAGGTGAGATTGCCGGCCTTGAGCGCCGGGGCGGGGCCGACGAGGTTGTTGTTGTCGAGCTTGACGTCGCGGAGCAGCGGCAGGGCGGCGAGGCCGGGCGGCACGAGGCCGACGAGGTCGTTGTTGTTGAGCCAGAGGGCGGCGAGCTGCTTGCAGTTGGAGATGCCGTCGGGGATGGGGCCGGTGAACTGGTTGCCGTGCAGCCATGCCTGCTGGAGGTCGGCCATCCCGGCGAGCGCGCCGAGCGTGCCGGAGAGCTTGGCCTCGCCGAGCTGGTTGTTGAGCCAGAGCTTCTGGAGGCCGGACCCTGAGAAGCTGGCCGGGATCGGGCCGGCGAGCCTGTTGTAGGAGAGTGTGAGCATCTGCAGCCCGCTCATGGCCCCGAGGAACCCCGGGATCCCGCCGACGAGGCTGCAGTTTGTGAGGCGCAGGCTCTGCAGCTGCGGCGAGGAGGCGGCGAGCGCGGCCGGGATCTCCCACCCGCCGGCGGACGCGTTGAGCGGGTTGTTGTCGAGGCAGATCTCCTCGAGGCTGTCGAGGCCGTCGAAGAAGTCGGCGGGGATGGATTCGAAGGCGTTGTCGTTGAGGTAGGCGTGGCGGAGGGCGGCCATGCCGCGGAAGGAGGGGAGCGGGCCGGAGAGGCTGTTGGTCTGGAGGCTGAGGTCCTGGAGCGCGTCGAGCGAGGCGAAGGAGGGCGGCAGGGCGCCGGCGAGGCCGACGCCCTTGAGGTCGAGGTTGTTGACCCGGCCGTCGCGGTCGCAGGAGACGTGGTCCCACCCGCCGCCGCACGGGTCGGCGCCCTTGGGCCAGCCGAGGACCTCCGGGTTTGTGAGCGAGCGCCGCAGGTCCTCCAGCACGGCCAGGTCGCCCGGGTGGATCGTCGCGGCCGTGGCCACCCCGCCGCCGAGCATGGCGTCGGCGGCGAGGAGGAGGATGAGGGGGAGGAGCGGCGGCGTTGCCATGGGGCAAGGCTACGGGTCCGGGTGCATTGGCGGCGGCGGGGCGGACGGAGGTGGGCTGCGGTGGCGTCGGCGGTGGGGTGGGGAGGAAGGAAGGGAGGGATGGATGGGGGTGGGGATAAGCGGCGAGGTGAGGGGGATTTGCCTCGTGCTTTGGTGTGGTTTCCTTTGCTGTGGTCGGCAGCGTCGCCGGGAATGTGATGTGATGTGGGTGTCGAATTGTGTGGGTGCGCGGCGTGTCGTGCCTCGCTGTGGTGTCCACCCGACCCGACCTTGACTCTTTTCTCCTTTTTGTCTCCTACTATACCAGTCCGCCTCGTGGCCTGGCTTGCTGCTCTGTTTTCACTTGAATTTGCAGTGAAACCACAGCCTTTTTTTTCTTCCAGCTTTGGCTTTATTTTAGTCACGCCACGCCGCTCTTTTCCTATGCCTTTTGATTTGTCCCTCCCTCGGCTGCTTTTCGTTGGTTGTGAACGTGATTGTTTTTTCCGTTTCGTCTTTCGATTACCAGTGCTGCTGCAGCTGTTTGTACACGTGTTGGATCCCGTTCGTGCTGGACTGGGCTGGACTGGCTGGACTGGGCTGGACTGCGGTGTCGATTTCTGGTGCTGGTGAAAGAAGACAGGAGCAGGGATGATGATTCGCTGGGAACGCAGGAGGGAGGGGCGGGCAGGGCGGCGTACGCGGGAAAGGCGCCGGAGATGGCTGCCAAATCGGGCCGGGCCACCGGGACAGCCACCATGCGTGGACACACACACACACACACACACAGAGATGAGGCAACCGTCTTTAAAACGCCGTGTCGGTGGCGGTCACATTTCAATTCCATCCACCCATACATTGATTTACCTGCCGTGTCGCTGCTGATACACGGTGAAAATGTGTATCCGCGTGATGCGCTTGATTTACTACTACTTGCCATTCACCGTGCTGTTATATCCGCGTGATCGACTCGTCGATCGGATCCAATCCAATCCGCGGGCAATCAATTACTAGTAGTACGTATTATTATTACTGCCTGCGCCTGCATGCAGGCCGGCGAGCACTACGACTGGTTGATTGCACTGCGTAATGCAGGCAGGTAGTCGATCGAATCAAGCGGATCCGTGTTTACCATGCACGCCAGCTGCTGCGGATCACGTCGCTCCCGATTAACCTCCCTCTGCGGATCTTTCTTTTCCTTACAGAAGAAGAAGAGTAGAACCACCGCACCGACGGCATCGGGGAGTGTCAGACACGCAGATTCCGGCGCGATGGGCGCCTGCCTGCCGATTCGGGCGATTGGGTTGGTGCTGCCCTGACAGACATGCCGCCCGCTCGCCCAAGTCTTTCCACTTTTTGAGGTAATAGCATTCCAGGTCCCTGAACTTGTACAGCATGTGATGATTTGGTCCTTCTACTTGCAAAAGTAGATTATTTCATCCCTATTCAAGTTCAGGGATGAAATAATCTACTTTTGCAAGTACAAGGATCAAACCATCACATGTTGTGCAAGTTCAGGGACCTGCAGTGCTATTACCTCTTCTTTCTCGTACCGGATCGGATGCAATTCTCTGTGTTCTCTTCTCACTGTCTGTTCCGCCAGTCTCATCTCGGTAGGACCCGGCGCTGTCTGCCCGCCATTACCTTTACGTGCTTCCACTCAATTCGCTCGCTCCTCACACGACATGCGTGACAATCGGTCCTGGTGCCTCGCTCGCAACCACTTGGCCTCCCCCGCCGTACAGCATCTCCACCCGTTGGCCACTCAGGGGGCTCGAAAATTCGCCGTGTGAGGGCGACCCGGCGAAAAAATCGGCTTGACGCTGATCGGGTTTCCAGCCGTCGACCCAGATTTTTTTTATTTTTTTTTAACATATGTTCGGCTATTATTCGGCAAACGGGCATAAAACTTCGACGAAATATAGCAAACTTAAAATTGAACTTCGGCGCTTAACAGTCTTTACATAGCAAACTTAAAAAATAAAAGCCTAGCTAAGGAAGATCGCGCTGAGGCGGCGAAGTCCTTGTCGCCATCGCCGTCGTCCTTCCCCTCCTTGACGCGGCTGTTGCCGCCCCTGCTGGACCCCTGCCCGCCGTCGCCCTGGCGGACCGGTGGCGGCGCGTCATCGTCGTCTTCGTCGAGGACGATGACTCCTCCCTCGTCGCGGCCCCGACGCCGAGCGGAGAACTGGTCTAGGGCTCGGACTTGACGCTCTAGCTCCGTCTGCGCCCAGTCCTCGCGCGCCCACTTCAAGGCCGCCTCCTCGGAGAGGCCCGGCTCCGTCTTGACCGCGGCAAGCCCGGGCTCCGTCTTCGGCCTGCCAAGCAGGGAGGGGCCAAGGAGGAGGCGCGCCCGCCATCGTTGTTGATGACGATGCCGACACTGCGTGTTCGCCGGCCGAGCGGCGTCTCACCGGGCTCGGCCTTGACGCTGATCAGCGCCAGCGACTCCGACGAGGCAGAACGGGAGGAGGAGGAAGAAGAGGATGCCGCCCTCCTCGGCATCCACTGGCCGCTGATCCGGGCCGGGGCAGGAGGGTAGGTCATCGGCGGGTAGTTGCCTCCCTCGAGGTGCTGGAGGACAGCGTGAAGCGAGCGGCCAAGGGCACCCCACCACAGGCGGCGCCCCTCGTTGTTCTGTCCGCCCCTGACCACCGGTGCCCCGTTGGTGGAGGCAATCCGCTGCGCCTGCCGGTGCTGGAAGTGCCGCCCACGCCTCGTGGTTGCCGGCGGCGTACTGCGGGAGGACCCGCTGCTCGTCCGTCAACGACGCCCGGACGCGGTCGACCTCGGCGGCGAAGAGGTCGGGGCGCGCGTCGACGTCGGGCACCGGGGGAATAGGGACGCCGCCGGCGCTAAGCCTCCAACCCGACGGCCCAACGCGCATGTTGGGAGATGCCAGGATGTTGTCCTTGAAGAGCAGGTGAGCCTCCCAGTCGTGAAGGGAGCGGCAGCCGAAGTCGTTCGCCGCCGCCCCATCGCCGGGGAACCGCTCGGCCATCCTCTTGGGGAGGAGGGCACGGGGGAGAGAGGTGGAGCTCGACGGCTGCGCGCGGGGAGACAGGCAAAGAGCTCGACGGCGGGTTGTGGGTGGGTGTGGCCAGAGGCGAGGGAGAGGCCTTGCTTTTTATAGCCAGGTGTCGTGTGTTCGTGTGGCGGAAGGGGGGCGTCGCCGCGCCGCCCATGAGGAATCAATGGAAGGCTGCTGGCGGCAGCCTTGCCATTGATTCCCCGCGGGAAACTGAGGCGTTGTGAGGACAACGAGGCGAGTGTCGCTGACTCGGCGGCCCCGCAGTGCGTTCACGCCAAAATCGCTCGCACCGGCGCGCCAGGTTTGGCCTGGGTACCTCGACACCAATTTCGGCCCAAGACGGCGAAAAACAGACTCTTGGGGGCGCGACTGGGCCGATTTTTGGGCGCCGGCGCGAAAAAATCGTTTGAGGAGGGCCTATTAGGGGCGCGGGTGGAAATGCTCTTAGAGTATCTTCCCTTAAAAACGGTTAAACCCGTAAAAAATAAGGCATCCTTTACAGTTTCGGTCAAAAATCGGTCCCTAGCAGATCCAGTAAAGTTCAATTGATTCTTAAAAATTTTAAGGGCCAAGAACCTCGTACGTACAGGTTGGAAGGTAGTATACAGTTCAACTCGTAAACGGTCAAAACTCGTCGTAGCATAAGCGCCGCCGTGGAACTTACCAGAATCAACCAGAAACTCGCCGGAATCCGTAGGCGCACATCGAAAAAGGTCGCCGCATGCCAGAGTTTGTCACTGCCGGTTCAAATTATGGTCGGCTCGACCTTCACCGCCAAGGCAAGGTGGAGTAGGCCGCCGGTGGCTCGAATCAAGGCGGAGCAGCGCCGGAGAAGGGCGGGAGAGGCGTGGGCGGGGCGGGCATGGCCGGGGCGTGACCGAGCCAGGGCGTGCATGTTCGAGACTAGACGGGTGGCGGTCGGGGCGTGACCGATCCAACGCGTGCATGGTCGGGGTTGGACGGGCGGGAGACAGGTGGCGACCGGGGCGAGCATGGCAGAGGCGTGGCACGGCCAGGGGGAGCGCGGCGGGAGCGGGACGATTAAACGGGTTTTACCGTGCGAAACTGGGCCGAAAATAACAGATACCATATTACGACCTGAAACTCCACGGAGAATATTTTTGAAATTAATAAAAAATACTAGCGAAAGAATCAAGGCCAGGGGCCCACACCCTGGCCACGAGGGTGGGGGCGCGCCCCCTGCCTCATGGGCCCCCTGATGCTCTACCGACCTCAACTCCAACTCTATATATTCACGTTCAGGGAGAAAAAAATCAGAGAGAAGGATTCATCGTGTTTTACGATACGGAGCCACCACCAAGCCCTAATCTCTCTCGGGAGGGCTGATCTGGAGTTCGTTCGGGGCTCCGGAGAGGGGAATCCATCGCCGTCGTCATCATCAACCATCCTCTATCACCAATTTCATGATGCTCACCACTGTGCGTGAGTAATTCCATCGTAGGCTTGTTGGACGGTGATGGGTTGGATGAGATATATCATGTAGTCGAGTTAGTTTTGTTAGGGTTTGATCCCTAGTATCCATTATGATCTAAGATTGATGTTGCTATGACTTTGCTATGCCTAATGCTTGTCACTAGGGCCCGAGTGCCATGATTTCAGATCTGAATCTATTATGTTTTCATGAATATATGTGAGTTCTTGATCCTATCTTGCATGTCTATAGTCACCTACTATGTGTTATGATCCGGCAACCCCCAAGTGACAATAATTGGGACCACTCCCGGTGATAACCGTAGTTTGCGGAGTTCATGTACTCACTAACTGTTAATGCTTTGGTCCGGTACTCTATTAAAAGGAGGCCTTAATATCCCTTAGTTTCCAATAGGAACCCGCTGCCACGGGAGGGTAGGACAAAAGATGTCATGCAAGCTCTTTTCCATAAGCACGTATGACTATATTCGGAATACATGCCTACATTACATTGATGAACTGGAGCTAGTTCTGTGTCACCCTATGTTATAACTGTTGC